TATCCTCTAGAATGCCAGGCATTATATATCTTTATTCTAGTTTGTGTCTGTGTAATATGTATTGTGATGGGACTGATCTTATAAAATAAACATTTCAAACATTTTAGTTCTTATTTTATTTGTTAATAAAAGGTATTTAAAAAATATATTTTTTATTTGACATCTGTGACAAATTGTGAAAATGATTAAACTTACAATAAAAACTAAAAAATGGTAGGTAAAGTTTCATATAAAATTTTTTACACAAAAATCAATGTAAAGTTACCTGATATATATTTAAAAATAATCTCAAATTATGAGGAAAAGTCAGTTTACTAACTAATAATGTTTAAATTGTTTTCAACGAATTAAAAAAAAAAAAAAACAAATATTACACTAACTAAAATATTCATTTATTAATAGTTGTAATGCTTGAAAACAGTATGATGTTGATAATAATAATTACACTTAATACAAACTCAAATAATAAAAAAACAGTGATATTGACTTGTACAAGGTTTTGATCCGAACTTACAAATGATAAAATTATTGGAAAAAGTGAACACCCACTTCAAATTACCACAAGCCGCCACTGACCATGGTATTCACGTCTTTTTATATAAGGCCTATAGAGTGATATATTTACATAAGATTTGGGTATGGTACTCCGATTGGCGGATAAACACCATCCTCCTTTAAATACAATAATTTTAGAAACCGCCTTTGAACTGCTTGAATTCGATCAGTGTGAAGTTGCTAAAACGTACGACAGATGCATATTCAAATTTTGATCATATAATACAACGTTTTTAATGTGGCTACATCTTTGAAATCCCTGGTACAGTAAGTTATAATACTGTACATCCGATACAATGTTTCAATCATTTTATCAATGTGATATAATATAACGGTCAAGCCGGGATCAAAAATTACCTCAAAATCTGTAAAAATATCAGTTCGCCAAAGTGAGACATTGGGTTATATGATTGAACGTTTACGTTATCCGTAACGTACATGTTAGGCCGAGTTTTAACAGTAAAGAGACAAATTCGTATGATGTAAAGTCTTTCATAACACATTACTGTTATATTCCGCCTGTTATGTTCTAATTTAACAGGTTTCCATCATACGAACTTGCCTCGTTACTTTTAAAATTCGGCCTAACATGTACGTTACGGATAACGTAAACGTTCAATCATAGGACCCATTGTCTATTATATTATATTTCATTTGGTCGGTTTTTAAAGTAAAAGACCTAGGTTAAGTTTAAATTTTTTATTATTATTACACCATACAACTACAAGATTTAGGTTTATATAAAGTTTTTTACAGTCGCCAATACTTGTCACATGCTTGTATAACTTTAAATCATCTGCAAATAGTAGCAACTATTCTTTAATTCACTGGAGATATCATTGGTGGATATATTAAATAGTAACGGGCCCTGATTGAAACCCCGAGGAACTTCAGATGTAGCAAATTTTACAGACTTAAACCCATTAAGCTGTACAAACTGAGTACGATTTACTAAATAGCACTAAAAGAGATTTATTAAAGGTAAGGACAATCCAAACCCTGTAAGTTTTCCAATAAGTACACCGTGGTCAAGCCTGTCAATTGCCTTGGAAAAATCTGTGTAGATGACATCCGTCTGGGCGCGCATATCAATAGATTCAGCAATGTATTGTATTACGTTAACCAGGTTGGTGATTGTTGAGCGACCTTTCATAAACCCATGTTGATTGACTGATAGCATTTTACTAACATAATGATATAAGGTCTTCTTCAATAAAATTTCAAATATGTTGGTGAAAGTGCATGTTATAGATATTGATTATATCTCTTTTATCCTTCTTTTTGAAAACTGGACATACTTTTCAGGTCTTCTAAATATCTGGAACTGTTAATGTTCTGAGGCATATATTTATAAGGGTGGCTAGGACGGGCAAGTTGAAAGGCACGATTTTTTAAAATAAAAGCTGCAATATGGTCTGTACCAGTTGTCTTTATAGATTTAATAGACTTTAGAGCTATACAGGGTGTCCCGAAATTAGACGGTAATATTTTAACAGCGTAATCTACATAAAAAAATAGGAATAAAAGTTCATATAAACATAGGTCCGAAAACGTTTCGTTTTCGAGATACAGGGTGTTACAAGTGAAGTCCTGATGACACATTTTTGTAAATATATTCTAAAATTTCTTTAGTCACCGGTTTTCCAAAGTAAAAAAAAATAAATAAAATTTCTGATTTCACAGGCCTACTAATTATTGTTTACACTTTCGAATAACTTAACATGAAATTTCCAAATGCTTTTTTCTTGAAAATGGTGCGTTCTAGCGGGATGCAACAAAAGTACCTTTATTATAAAAAAACATTGGTTTTCTAAATTTTAAAGTCAAAAATGTTGAAAACTGTCAACAAAAAACTTAGGGCAATTTTACCCTAAGCTCCCCCTAATTTACCCACCTATGAAGATGATCAAAAACTGAAGTTTAGTCCGTTAAATAGAGCGAAAAAAGTTAAGCATTTGTACCAAATTTCACTTAGTTATCTTTAAAAGTTTAGAAAATATTTACAAAAGAGTGTCATCAGGACTTCACTTTTAACACCCTGTATCTCGAAAAAGAAACGTTTTCGGACCTATGTTTATAAAAACTTTTACTCTTATTTTAGGATGTAGATTATGCTGTTAAAATATGACCGTCTAATTTCGGGACACCCTGTATATACCTCTTTTTCGGTAAAACTATTGACTTTAAGGAAAGGAACATTGAGTAGCGAATTTGAACTAGCAATAAACGGACTAGAGGTAATATATGACTGTTTAAAGAAGTCAGCAAATCCATTGAGAATATATAATGGGCTTTTTGGTGAATTGTTGTCATAAGACATTATTTGAGGGTATTTGGATTGTGATTTCTTACTATTTATAAATGCTCAAAATTTACTTCGATTATTGGATATCTCTTGTTTAGTCTTTTTAATATATGCTCTGTAAGAAATGTCTATTTCTAATTTTAAAGCAGTTATTATACGTTTAATGTCTTCAAAGGCTTATAAATCATTTGCTCGTGTGTATTTTTTCCACATACTAATTTTGACGCGTAACTGACTGATTATTTCTCTATTAAATTATGCTGGATATTTGTTTCGATGTTTTGGGACATTTATTAAGAATATCGTATTGTTTTCCATAAAAGTATGTACAAGTGTCTTCTGCATAATTAAAGGCTTCTAAAAATATCCAACTGGATATTGAATTGTACATTAGTGAAAAGTTGGCTTTTTAGAAATTATAAGAGTTTTCAAAGGATGAATCCACGTTGTTTTTACGGTCAGTTTTTACATCCAAGTAACAAGTGATGTCTAGAGCAGGATGACGTTTATCTTCCACTGCAAATGGATCAAGCGATTTTTCTACTAGACATTTATCATTAAAGAAGACTAGATCTAATAGCTTATTATTAACATTAAAGATTAAAGTTTGACTGAGATAAATTTAAAAGATAAGAGAAGTCACTGATTATTGAAATTTGTTTGTTAATTTTTCCGTTACTAAGATATTCCGCACATTTTCTAAAACTAAAATCACCGATACTATCTAGGAACTGTTATATAACAAATTTAAGGAGCACAAAGCTTCAAAAAGGTGTTCAAATTCAACATAAGGCGTTTGTGGTGGAAAATACATATTAATTAAAAACAACTGATGAGAGGATATGGTTATTCTCACTAGAACCATATCAACACATAGAAATATGAGAAAAAAAATATTTATTTAAATTTAATTGTTCAGAAATAATATCATCGCGTACTCCAATTACTACACTGCCACCTCTAGTCAAAGAGTTGCAAAACAATTTATTTACAGCTTCGTCTATTTAGTCGTTTACCCAATTGCTGCCGCCATTGTTCTTGTCCCATTGTTTGTTCTCTTTCTTCTTTCCTGTTACTTTAGTACTTGTTTTCGTCTCTTAAATGTACCTGCTATTACCTAGGTTTACATTGCTAACATTATTCTGTACCCGCTAATTATCTTTTCCATACAGCGCCAGCATAAATTAGCACATATTGAACCACTTCGTATAATGCCAATCGTTTGTAACCTAAAAAATAATTTACACTGATAATAAAATACAGTTCGGTCCTATAAATAGTGCTGATTTAAGTATTTTAGTACAAATATATTAATAGCTAACAACTATTTTCTCCACTGGTTTGAAAGGAGAGTTTTAGTTTTAATTTATTTCATTTCACATGCCGCCCATCACATACAATGATGAACAATCAATGGGCGTTTAAAATTTTTTATGAAGTTTTTTGAAGCTTACCTCAAATTACAAAGTAGAAAAATCTATTAACAACTGGCATTCTAATTATAGATTAGTTTTTAATCCCCCAGGTTTGGTAGTGGGCCCATCACATACAATGATGAAAAATCAATGTGCGTTTAAAGTAAGTTTTTGAAGCTTACCTCAAATTACGAAGTAGAAAAAATCTATTAACAACTGGCATTCTAATCATAGATTAGTTTTTAATCCCCCAGGTTTGGTACTGAGTCTTGATTTTGCGGCTCAACACACCTGTTGACCAGAGTTCCTTACCTTTTTGTTATTGATATTCGATGATTTTCTCCCACGTGTTCTTTCACGTTTTTTTGACGAAGTACTGACGACGCCTTAATCGACGAAAGTCCTAGACTAATTTTACATGAAGTATTATTGTTTTAAAACAATTTCTCTTATAAACTCTTGAAATACAAAATCTTCAACTTTCTACTACTACCAAGTGTGGACACGCTTACAGCCTCTTTAAGTTTACACCCTCTTGTGGATATTTATATGTATTTAGTGTAAATAGATTATAAATGGACTGATCCAAACATGTAAACTGGTCTAAACAAATAAAGGTTACAATAAATATGAAATTTATCGTTTTAAAAAATATATATTTCTGGTACACATAAATGAAACATTATTTTATATCTTACAAATTTAAATATATCTAGATACTAATTTTATACTTCAAAGTTGTTAGTGACGTCTTTTAAAATATAATACATTGCAGAAGGATTGTCTCTGGGCACCTGAAATAAATAATATTCATGTTTAATAATTATTAGATACCTTTTTATTATCATACCATGTGTCCTGCTCTATCTACCCAATACAACGCGAAGTTTCCATGTTTTTTAACATATCCTTGATAGTATCCATCAATTGCAAATCCAACTTTGGAAGTGGCATCCCAACTGTCTTTACCGTTGAAATGAAGATTTTTTACCCAATTTAGTGTACCTGAAATATTATTTTTATATATAGTTATTATGGGCCAGTCTTTGAGTAAAATTAAAAGTATCTACTTGCTGATTAAACTATAGGGCTACAGTTTGTTAAGTTGTCAAGTAAACCTACATGTAACTTAACTCAGAGGTAAAAAGATCGGCACTAATAATACATTTAATATAATAATTTATGTCAAAAATTATTTTTGTAAATGGTATGTTTTCTATTCTTTACATACTTAACTTACCAAGGGTGCTTACAATTAAATCTAATTGGCCATTATATACTGCAACAGTAAGGTCAGTTTCGTTAAGAAGTTTTTCTACAACTTCGGTAACGGGGTTTAAAAAATCATCTGCAAGCCAGTTATACACATTGTCATTTTGATTCACCCATTCTCGTGAAATATTAAGAGCTGGTGCAACTCCTCTGTTCATTATTATGCCCAAATCTAATTCTTCTTTTAAGTTGTAGCTTCTTATCGGTCCAAATTCTTAAAGAATAAAGAGGAAACAAGTATAATTACAATAGATTGGCTGCATGCTCGGTGTCATATTTAAAAATCTGATGTGTGCAACGGGTGGCACAAAACTGATCGAAAACATTACAGTTGATCGAAAAAACATTTTATCGAATAACAATTGATCGAAAAGAAAAATAATCGAACAGAAAAATGATCGAAAAGAGCAATGATCGAAAAGAAAATTGATCGAAAATAGATTTGATAGAAAAACCAAATATACATAAAATTAAAACAAATAAAAAACTCGACTAATTTACCTAATCTGTGCCTAGAGTCATCACTTCGCAAAAACAAATATAGAAAAAATTAAAAAATAAATAAAACTTAAGTAACCTACCTAACTTTTTTTTTTTTTAAATTTGCGAAGCAAACCGCGACTGTTCCATACTGCACAGGTAAGCAGCTTATTTTTTTATAACAAATTTAACTAACTTACCTTAACCTGTGCGAGAGCAAAATTAAATTGCTTCAGGCCATACAGGTTAGGGAACTTAGTTATGTTGTTTTCGTTTTGCATCATTTTTTTTGCGAAGCAATCCTTCAGAGCTCCAGGCCGCACAGGTTAGCTAAACTGGTTAGGATTTTTTTAATTTCCTATAATTTTTTTTGCAAGGCAAACCACGACGGCTCTAGGCCGCACAGGTTACATAATTTAATTTATTTTTTATAATTTAAAAAACCTAATTAACTAACCTACTTTGTGCGAGAGCAATCAGTTAAATTTAAATTGGTTAAGTTTTTTTATTTTTCCCATTTTTTATAATTTTTACTTTCCTATCTGTATACAGATATAAGGAAAGTATAGGAATCATGATTTTTTTCGACCTCGAGTTTTCGACGGATTTTTACGTTTTGAGGTCCCCTGAATCCGTTTTGACTATTTTCGCGATGATGTGTGTGTGTGTGTGTGTGTGTGTGTGTGTGTGTGTGTGTGTGTGTGTGTGTGTGTGTGTGTGTGTGTGTGTGTGTGTGTGTGTGTGTGTGTGTGTGTGTGTGTGTGTGTGTGTGTGTGTGTGTGTGTGTGTGTGTGTGTGTGTGTGTGTGTGTGTGTGTGTGTGTGTGTGTGTGTGTGTGTGTGTGTGTGTGTGTGTGTGTGTGTGTGTGTGTGTGTGTGTGTGTGTGTGTGTGTGTGTGTGTGTGTGTGTGTGTGTGTGTGTGTGTGTGTGTGTGTGTGTGTGTGTGTGTGTGTGTGTGTGTGTGTGTGTGTGTGTGTGTGTGTGTGTGTGTGTGTGTGTGTGTGTGTGTGTGTGTGTGTGTGTGTGTGTGTGTGTGTGTGTGTGTGTGTGTGTGTGTGTGTGTGTGTGTGTGTGTGTGTGTGTGTGTGTGTGTGTGTGTGTGTGTGTGTGTGTGTGTGTGTGTGTGTGTGTGTGTGTGTGTGTGTGTGTGTGTGTGTGTGTGTGTGTGTGTGTGTGTGTGTGTGTGTGTGTGTGTGTGTGTGTGTGTGTGTGTGTGTGTGTGTGTGTGTGTGTGTGTGTGTGTGTGTGTGTGTGTGTGTGTGTGTGTGTGTGTGTGTGTGTGTGTGTGTGTGTGTGTGTGTATGTGTGTGTGTGTGTGTGTGTGTGTGTGTGTGTATGTGTGTGTGTGTGTGTATGTGTGTGTGTGTGTATGTGTGTGTGTGTGTGTGTGTGTGTGTGTGTGTGTGTGTGTGTGTGTGTAGGTCGCATAACTCATGAACCGATACACAGAAAAACACCAAATTTTAAACTTAAGCTTTATTCTAGCGTCTAATGAACTGTTTAGATTTTGGGCAGAGTCGGAACATCTGGGGGGGTACTTTATAGGTGGTCATTTTTATATTTTATGAAATATATCTGTTATTTACGTTTAGAGAAGAAAATTCTTTAAATAAAAGTTACTTCTTATATAATTGTCTATAATTTTTGTTCAATACAAAATTTTCCTAAAATGGTCCGTATTCGAGAAATTTGACAAAATGTAAAAAAAATATTTTTTTATAAAAATTGTTCAAATAAAAGTTGTTTGTAATATAATTTTCTATAATTTTTATTCCCTACATAATTTCTCTAAAATGGACCGTATTCGAGATATTTGAGAAAATGTGTAAATTTCGAATTTTGAAGAAAACTCAAAAACGGATGAAGAAAATAACATTAAATTTTAAACTTAAGGTTTATTTCGGCCTGACGTGAACTGATTAGATTTTGGACAAAGTCGGAACATCTAGGGGGGTACTTTATGGGAGGTCGTTTTTATATTTTATGGAATATATCCGTTATTTATGTTTGGAGAAGAAAATTGTTTAAATAAAAGTTGTTTGTAATATAATTCTCTAAATTTTTATTCCATACATAATTTCTCTAAAATGGACCGTATTCGAGATATTTGAGAAAATGTGTAAATTTAGAATTTTGAAGAAAACTAAAAAACGGATAAAGAAAAAACATTAAATTTTAAACTTGAGGTTTATTTCGGCCTGAAGTGAAATTATTAGATTTTGGACAAAGTCGGAACATCTAGGGGGGTACTTTATGGGAGGCCGTTTTTATATTTTATGGAATATATCCGTTATTTATGTTTGGAGAAGAAAATTGTTCAAATAAAAGTTACTTCTAATAATATTATCTATAATTTTTGTTTTATGTTAAAATTTCCTGAAATGGTCCGTATCCGAGAAATTTGACAAAATGTGCAAAATTCTGATTTTTATGAAAATTGTTGAGCTAAAAGTTGTTTGTGGACAATGAATATATTTAGTTTATCCTCTAAACATTTATAGAGATGCTGCAATAGGTTGTACAAAATAATCGGAAAAAGCCTATAAAAACTAGATAGGAAAGTCATGTGTTGGACACATCAGATTTTTGGAGAGGCAAGCCGCGACGGCTCTAGACCGCACAGGTCAGGTATGTTAGTTAAATTTTTTATAAAAAAAAACTTATTTTCTTATTTACCTAAAATGTCCGTCCCATCGTGGGACAACTCGCCCTTGTTCAAATACATATTTTATGCGAATTAATCACAATGCTTTAATCTCAATGAAGAAAAAAGCTCTAAAAATTTAAATTTAGCAGTAATGTAAGGATAAAATTTATTAAACGAGGTAGCTATGGACGAAACGCCTTCTCTTGCTGATACTGCCACACAAAAAAGGGTAAAAAGGCAGAGGCTAATTGGACTTGGATAGAAGGATTAGTTGAAATAAGAGACCCTCCTGAAGAAACTTTAAATGAGTCACAAGAAGTTTTGTCACCTGTACAATATGTTCAGCGGTACTTGGGCGATGAATTTTACGAACTGGGTGCTTTACGCACTAGCCAATACTATTTTAACAAAACTGGAAAACCTTTACAACCTTCTTTGTTGCCTGAAGAAGTAAAGAAGTTCTTCGGTATTCATGCTATTTTGGGCTGTGTAAAATATCCTAGACTTAGGATGTATTGGACAGCCAACTTTAGATTGCCTCTCATTGCCGATACATTACCTAGAGATCGGTTTTTCTTGCTTCGTTCTAACTTTCATATAGAAGATGAAAACAGGGTTTCAGAAGAGGACGAAAAAAGTAATCGGCTTTGGAAAATACAGCCTATGATAACTTATGTCAGAAATAGATACCAGCAACTCAAAAGATCTCAAAACGGAACTTATTCAATTGAGAGGCAAATGATTCCTTTTTTAGGTTGTTGTGCGTTAAAACAATAGGTCAAGAATAAGCCGAGACCTGTTGGCCCTAAAATTTTTGTTTTGACGACTTCTAAAGGAGTTGTATTACATTTTGAAATCTACCAGGGGAATACAACTCCATTTCAACATAAAGCCCATGGACTTGGACCAGCTGTAATTCTACATTTTGTTCACAAGTTACCAAAGAAAAATCATCTATTTTTCGATAGGTACTTTAACTCAGTGGGGCTAATGGAGCAGCTAAATCATATAGAAATCCACGGTACTGGCACTATAATGAAAAACAGGCTTCAAGTAAGATACCATTTCATTCCCAATAAAAGAATGGCAAGAAGTGATTCGCAGTCAGTTATTAGAAGTGATAATAATCACATGGTACTGACAAAGTGGATGGATAACAAGGCGGTTCTTATGTTGTACACTTCTTTTGGAACTATATCAGAAAGCACTGTGAAACGCTGGAACAAAATTAAAAACGAGTTTGTTGAAGTCAGCTGCCCTAACGTCATTTATAGCTACAATTAAAAAAATGGGAGGAGTGGATGTCTGTGATCTAATGATAGAGTGTTACAGAACTTTCTGCAAGACGCGAAAATGGCCGTTTAAAGTCATATTACATTTGTTTGATCTCTCTTAGTAATTAGTTGGATGGAGTATGTTGAAGACTACAAATCAAACAATTTTCAAGAAAGGATATCATGGATTTTTTGACATTTCGTTTATCAGTTGGCGAGTTTTTAATTGGGGGCACAAGAAAGAGAAGGGATCAGTTTGAGGAAATAACTGATTTAGAAAATAATGAAACAGGAGACGAGAAGCATAAGAAGAAAGAATAATTCCAACTACCGTTCCTGGTCCTGACAAACGTTATGATGTATATGAACACTGGCCAGTAAATGATGACTTAAAACATCCCCTTCGTTAAATGATGACTTAAAACATCCCCTTCGTTGCAGACCACAATCTTGTACTAGCAGAACAAGAATACGTTTGTAGCAAGTGCAATGTTTACGTATGTTTAGCTAAGGATAAAAATGGTTTATCAATTTTTATAGGTCTCAATAGAACTCTAATTACATTTTAAATTACATTTTCATAAATTTTACATTGGATACTTTGTTTACTTTAATAAAAACTTTTTTATTAAATACTATTATTTAATTAGTACAGTCCTGCAATACACAATTGTTGAAATACTCACAATTGTGAGGAAAAGTGATATAAACCCAAAAGGTAGCCTGTTTTTTTTGTAAAAATAATGGTTGGAAAAATCTAAAAAAAAATTAGTGACTTTTTATGACTTCTGATAATAGGAAACAATAAAATATATTGTGTTTGACTTATTATTGCACACTCAGGTCTGTAAGGGGGTAAATACTTAGAGGTTAACTTAATATATACATTTTCTACATACATCTAACTCGAAACATTTTTATATATACACTCATTCCCAACGAAAATGCTGAAAAATTTAAATTTTATACATTTTCCCCCATTTTTCCATTACGGTCCATTTTAGAAAAATCATTTAAAAAACAAAAATTATAGGGACAATATCGCAAATATCTCTTGGTTCAACAATTTTCCTAAAAATCAGAATTTTTTACATTTTTTTGAAAAATTTCACGAATACGGAGTATTTTAGGAAAATTTTGTATAAAACAAAAATTATAGAAAATAATATTAGAAGTAACTTTTAGAAGAATTTTCTTCTCCAAACATAAATAACTAATATATTCCATAAAATATGAACACGGCCCTCCAGATGTTCTGACTCTGCTCAAAATCTAATAGTTACACCGGAATAAAGCTTAAGTTTAAAATGTAATGCGTTTTTCTTTATTCGTTTTTGGGTTTTCTTTAAAATTCGAAATTTACATTTTTTCTCAAATATCCCGAATACAGTCCATTTTAGAGAAATTATGTATAGGACAAAAATTATAGAGAATTATACCACAAACAACTTTAATATAAACAATTTTTCATAAAAATTTGATTTTTTACATTTGGTAAAATTTCTGGAATACGGACCATTTTAAGAAAATTTTGTAATGAAAAAAAAAAAAGGAGGAAGAATAATATAAGAAGTAACTTTAATTTGAATAATTTTCTTCTCCAAACGTAAATAACACACATACACACAGACACGCGCGCCCCACACACACACGACATCATCGCGAAAAATATTCAAAACGAATTTAGGGGACCCCAAAACATAGAAATCATCTAATGACAATCATCTTTTATTCCAATCAAAACAAATTATATCAGAAAATACTGAATGTGATGCAGTGTTTTCCCTCAATTCGTCTTTTCTGTTGTTCAAATCATTCATTGTAAATAAAAAAATTGACATTATTTTCGAAATGTTGTTTATAAAAGTTCTGTTTGTTTTTGTTAAATAATCTTTTCAAATACCACGCGAATAAAGATTTATTTTGAGAGAATTTCATTGTCTCTTACGAATTATGCAAAATAACTCTCGACTTACGCCCCGTGGTAATTTAAGGAGTATTTTATTTCGTAAATTTTAAACGCCTAATTTCCAAAGAAATAACCAAATGTTCTCAAAAAATCCTGTTGTGATATTACCCTTAAAAATATGTATCCCAAATGATTTGTAAATACTTCAGACTTGGCAAGTATCTAAGTATAGATTTGTTTAATAATAATTAACTCACTCTTTAGCGTATTTGATGAATCTGATGGAGCCATTGTTAAAACGTTATAAAAATCTGTATGAGTTAAGGAATTAATATTGAAATCAATTGAATCCCACAAATCCATAGCTGTCGTCATATCGTTTTGGTCCACTGCAGATTTGAGTTTATTTGCTACTTCCATGATTAAATTGTATCCCTGTTGATCTATTTGTCCCTATAAGGAAATATTATTACAACCGTATTGCCCGAAATAAACAGTACTGAAACTTGTAATTTTTTAAATTTATTTAAGAAATACATATTATTGACATTTTAGTACATATTCCAAATGTTCACCTCCTTGTTGAAGTCAGATTTCATAACGATTTTCCAAGTTTAGGAAGAATTGATCACATACGTATCGC